TAACACTTATATACAATGTTTAAGGTTACATAAATAACCATGGAATTTTCATTGATATTCATAAAATATTCATAAATATATGCACATAAAATAATGAATAAACTCTTTTATTAAATAAATAATAAATATCCTATTACATCTAATGCTTCTAGGACACCATTCCCAACAGCCAGGGGGGCATCCACCGTCGCAGCGGTTACTCCACTTATGCTCCCCCCCCCGTAAAAGGGATCTGCTCGACCACCTCATCTATCATTCGTTCGACGCTACCGAATTCACTTCCGAAATCGTCGCCCGGCTCAAAACTTCCCTCGACATCCTCGATATCCCTAAGCACAGAGCTGACACCAGAATACGAAGAGGTCCATGAGATCTCTACCACCTAAGGGGGGTCAGAACGGATGACAGAAAGAGAATCCTCTCGACTGGGTGAACTTTGGGCCATTGTTCTGGTAATAACAAGGACAAAAAGCTAAGTTAAAACCCTAACGTCGAGAGGAATAAACGGTGACTACTCTAAGCGACGACTGGTTAACGTCGACCATTCATACAAGAATGGTAACGACGAGTGTTCATAGGAACCGCGGGTTCCCCAGAACCCAGAAACCAAAGACAAACAGACAAAAAATGCGCGCATATAAAAACCAGGTCATCCAGTACGACATAACACAACAAAGTAAAGTCTCTTTAACTAAATGTTTATTCTCGTTTTCTGCATATATGTTTACATATTCCTGGTACACAACGGGGGAAACCCCGTGAGTACGCAAAGAGAGAAAGGATCCAGGAACTTACCGGTGAAGAAGTAAACCCGGGACGGTTTCGTAGTACACCTCGGAGAACGGGAAGGACGAAGGCGGAAGTTCAGCAAGCAGGGTTCCGGCAAAAGTACGGATGTCCCGGCAAAGCAGCGGCAAAAAGTTTTTTGAAGTTTCGAAGAAGGAAAAAATGATCCTCAAGTCCATGGAGAGTATTTAAAGAGTCGGGAATGAAGACCCCCAACCGTCGGATGAAGACCCTAAAAGACCAACGGCCAGGGATCACTCTCCGTATCTGACAGTAAGGGGAAGGGCAGAAAATTGAAAAGACGCAGATCCGACGGCCTATATTCGTTTTCTTGAAACACGGATACTCATCATTATGCCAAATCAATCGACGCGACGGTTATACACCCAAAGCACCCAGGCCATCATTGCGGACGGAGGATCGGGACCGATTTCCCACACCCGAAGCACGGAAAGGACAAACTGAACCTAGAGCTCGAGGCCGCCTAAAAAAGGAGCCCTCGACCTGGGGGGTGGCTGTTGTGTGGGAAAATGTGATGGACACCTGGACCAACGGCGCCACGACACGTGGCTATACTTGCTTTCCGCCGAGCACTCAACCCTCGACGCTTCGTTTCCCTCAAGATCAGCTATAGAGCCCGAAGATGAAGTCCATTATTAGAGCGACAACCCCATGAGGTGTTGACGGTTGATTCTGCCTGGGTTGACACGACAAGATCCCTCGACTGCAGAAGAGATCACTAGAAGGGGCGAGAAAGGTTAAACAACCACTGACGACGAGGGGAACGTCCCTTTTCGACATGATAGGTTACATGCAAAGATAAGAGAAGTCTGACAACATTAATTGCAAGTTTACAAGCCGCCCCCCAGGGGATAGAAAAGCATTACGGAGAGTCACAGAGCCGTAATAGAAGACTAATTGGTTGAGTGAACAGTACTAATTAGTGGGCTATGTCTGGGCCTAGAGAGGGAGAGCACTTGAGTGTTCCTACCTACGAAGGAAACCCACCCAGTGAAGGAAGCCCGAGTATAAAAGAAGAAGGACCCCAATAAGGAAGGGGGCCAGAAAATTCCAAAGGAAAAAGAACGAGAGAGAAAGAGATAGCATTCATTGTAAACTATGATCTCCACAAAAGAAAAATAATATATACATTGGATGTAGCTCTAATTTTATAGAGTGAACTACTATAAAATTCTTCTTGTTCATTTACATACAGTTCATTCAAACACAAAAATACTTAAATCAAACTAGAATCCACACTTTCATTAAACCCACAAGCCGGTAATCCAAAGGGTAACCCCAAGGTAATCCGGCGGGTTTATTGTTGACGAAATCCAACCGTCAACAAGACTGATTTTTTTAACATCAATTGCGTTAGTGATGGGGCTGGGCACAACCACAAATCATGGTCGTACAAGTTTGGGTTGTACGCAATGAGGTGTGTAGGGGTGTTGATGAGATTGATGGTGGCACAACAATGAGGAAATTGGTATGGGAAGGGGAAGCAATGATACCTGAGATATACGACGATAAGGTGGGTGTGCGGCGATTTGGGAATGGAAGGTAGTTTAGATATTTTATGTCCCAATAAAATGTTTTTAAAAATGTAAAGGTATCATTTTGATATTATTAAAATAATAGATACGCTTGTTTCGCTTTAACATAATGTGCTAAAATGATTTTATTCTAAAATTTTGAAGTTAGAAACTCCGCGATGAGAGCAAAAAAAAAAAAAAAAAGTAATGGGACCCCTGAATTTTACATGTTTGGCTGATTAGTCTCTAAATTAAAAACTTTTTCAATCGATTTCTAAGTTTTTAAAATTTGTTGCATTACTGTTTTTTTTTTGATAACGTACATTGAATACTAAACAGTTTTGGATGATTTTTTGCACGTGAGTGATTATTAAGGGCCCCCACAACATAGATATCTACACCATGTCATCACCATAGCGCCCCCACAGCACTTGATGTCGGCGTCGCAGTGGATCTCCGTCGGCGGATCTTCAGTCTAGCAGCTCCATCCTTGCCGGATGATGCCGTTACAGCAGCCTCGCCCCTCGTAAGGGCTTTTTGCTTAATGGAGTGGTATTAGGAGGTGCATATTTTATTGATGATTTTGTGCAAACTTTATATTTTATTGTCCTCTTTGTTATTGAATCCTCCTTAATAATATATATATATATATATATATATAACCATGAGCTTAAAGAAGACAGTAAAAAAAATCATAATCAATGTTGCGTTCATTCAAAACAATCGCCATTGGGACGAATTTTTCCATTTTTTTTTGCTCTCTTCTCATTTAAGTTTGTTTCTTTTACATCTTTGGGCTTCAAAAGTCATTTTTTTTAACACTCTTGAGCAGAACTGGTTGGTCGGAATAATCCGTTTTTGCATCATTTGAATCAACAATCATACTTTCGAGTTTTGACCAATGATTCATGTTTATCAATGACAACATTCGAGTTTGCAAATTGAAATGGATGTTATTTTGTGTTTTTGTTTTATTTTCCTAATTCCATTTTACAGTTTATCTTAATTTATTATTATTATTTTTTGTTAATTCATAATTTCATCAGAAATACTTTTAGAGTCCGTTTAGTTCGCTAATTCGAGTTCAGATATGACTTTATGTGAGAACTTTTTACTGTAATAAAAAAATTAAATATAACTATTTATAAGAATTTTTTACTCTAATAAAATTTTAATCGGTAAAATGAAGATGGCTTACTATACCCTCCTTTAAAAGTCACTTGCATCTAAAATCTGTAAAAAATTTAATACCGTTCTCAACTAGTTAATGCAAGAGGGGTCAATTGTCAAAATTTTAGCTCGAGGGTTACCGATACAAAAATGCCAAAAAAAAAAGAAAAAGAAATATCTACCGTATAAGGGCGGGCTCCAAAATCGTAAATAGAACGCGGCGCCATTTGGAGAAAGGATTTTGTGCGACCGGAACACGAGACAAAAACTCCACGAGGGGAGTAATCCCGTCAATTCGACTCGGACAAAGGCAATCGAACGGCAGGGACTTCGCTAAAAATCACATCACGCATTGAACCACGTAGGCACGGCCACACCTTACCCCAAAATAACCTCCTGCGCATTTCACAGGCAAGGGACCACGCTGCCACGTGTCGCCCAAAAGTACGAAGTAACAAAAAAAGCAAAAAATAAAAAAACACGTCATGAAGCCCTACTATTGAGTAATATGATCCCGCGCCAAACACAAACAAAAACAAGTCTGGGGCCTTTTGAAACCCTCACTTTCTCTCTCTTCCCATTCGCATCTTCCCGCCTCTCTCTCCCTCCTTAAGAACCCGCCAAATCCCCCCCTCTTCCTCAGACTCAAAACCCTATCTCTTTCTAAAACGACCCCCTTTCTCTCTCCACTTGTATCTGCAATTCCTTCGTTTCTCACTCTCTCTCTCCTCATTTCTCTCTCTTCGACATGAATCGGAGGACTCGCGCAGTTCACAGGTCGTCCCCGAGCCGGACCGAGCCTTTCCTCAAGTACCTCAAGCCCGGCGCTCTCGCTCGAATCAGGGACTCGCGAATCAGCGCCAGATCTCACCGCGCCATCGCGTTGTCACAGATCCGGTTGTCGCCGCCGTCATCGCCGCCGCCGCCGACTCCAGGTCAACTCCCAGTCAGCGTGATGGACGTTTTTCCGTGCTTCTCGCCAAGATTCTATGGCCCGAGGTGTCCGCAGAGGAAGAAGCTCGTCGCCTCCAAGTCCGTGTTGTTTCCGAGCCAGACTCCGTCAAGCCCTGTGCTTGATGCGCCTGATCCGATAATTGATGTTTTCGGGAGTGACATTGCTGCTCATTGATTGAAACTGCTCCAATCTGTGAAGTTTCTTTAATTTTTTTTCCCTGATTATTGTTTTAGATTAATTGTCAGTGCAAAATGTGGAAAATTCCTTAGAACTGAGATTAGTAATAAAATAACAAACATTTTCCCTTACAGATCTGTTATATCGCGCTGAATTTTGTTTATTGTGTTCGATTCTTTATTCCAGTTGAGCAAAGATGGAAATCGGGAAATCTAGATATTGATAATTTGTCAATCCATGCATTGTTGTGTACGTTGTGAAATATTTTCGTAACTGCTCCATACTTTGACTGTGAATTAATGGCTATTTAACTTGTAACATGCCAATGGTTATTAAGTATCTGCTCCTTATTTATTTATGCGAAACAGCATTAATGTGGCTAATCTTAAGAAGTAAAAGATTCAGTCTTAGCAGTTGTAGTCAGTAAATAAGGGCACATATTATGTCCCTTTCTTGATTTTATACTTAGTGATTTGAATGGTCATGGTTTTTTCAACTCTGATTTGAGTCGAAATATTGCTTGCTCAGTGATTTAGCATTATGGTTTTTCATTTGCGTTTGTTGAAACAATGTCAAACATGGGAGTCTGGGACTAGGTGAACTGGTTTCAATAAAATACAATGGTGATTCATAAGAATGTCAGTCGTTGTGGTATTAGGCTATAGGCTAGTGGCTTTATAAATAACTTTCTGGACTCAGAAACTAGATGCAGGATTGTTATGTCACTCTTTATCGGGACCGTCTAAGACCATTGATTATGGTTTCCTTCACGGTGCAATTCAGTTTGTCTTTTTGCAGCTTGATCTTCGATGGCCATTAGCAGGTAATATTTGCCGAAGATCCATAATATAAGTAACAACTTATGGCTCTTGCTAAGCTTGCATTACTTGTGAATGTGATGGTTACGAGTTTGGTCTATTGCTTATTGTTGATGGCCTTTTGTTCTATGCATACTGGATTGATAGATACAGATAACCTGGAACATTTTGTATTTTCTTAAACACATTTAGATACATCCTCACAATAGGCTTATTTGTAAATCCGTTTTGAGGTTTGATTTTGGAGCAAGCGTAGCTTTGATTGATGTTTATGAATGCTAGTGTTTGTTTAACCTATTTTTGCATAAAACTAGGTTGTGCTTTTTCCTGGATAGTTGTTTTACTGATGAAAAAGTAGTCGAGAGTTTTGTCATTTCAGAAGCTATATGTTGCAATTTTGAAGCTAAGCCTGATTCTTGTTGGCTTTGGAAACCCCATTGTGAAACCATACAAGGCTTTGGAGGCTTTCGATGAAGCTCCTTATAAAGCTGGTAGTTTTGTAATAGCTGCCAAATGCAATGAACTATGAAGGTGAGATTAATACAACTTGATCAGTTGATTGAAGACAGTATTACCTATTTGAAAAACTGAACTTGATTTTCCTAGTATTCCTTTTGCCACTTCAGAGTTCTTTGTAACATGTTGCCTTTGGTATATAGATCCTTCGATGTCTACATATCGATGATATGATCCATGGTTCTATTTTTCTATCAAATTTATTTTGCTTGAATTCACAAAGTTTAATGAATGGTTCCAACAAATTACTAATTTAGTCTTTGCTTTTTTACTCCTGCATTCCTTTGACGGAAGGACTTGTATTTTGACTTGGAACTACACCTTTGATTATTTCACACCTTCATGATTTATTATTTATTTTTTAAAACCATATCTTAATGAGTTCATAATTATTTATTTTTGTAAGCTTTGATTTTTTTTTTTTTTTTCTGTTTCCATGTCTGGTATTGACTATTAGGATATTGAATGCGCGTGACTTTCGCATCGCTTAGATACTCCTGCGGGTGCATTGCTAAATTCAAAAGGAAATTGGCTTCAAAAGAAGTCTAAACTTCGATTGCCCGAGTTTAGGATTGATTTGGCAAATACGTTAATCGTTGATATGAACTTACTTTCGCGATTAGTGCAGATATTTATGCTAGTGTTTATGAAGCCTTATGGGCCATGTTTTATGTGACCTTATTTAAGATAGAGAAAATACACTATTTAACATATTTACTATCTATAATTGAAGTAATTAGCAACATTTTTAAATTGTGATAAATTATAGCACATTCTTAATTTCAATTTGGAATAAAATGCACTTTTCCAACTTTACCCTCATTTTAGGGTTTCATTTCATTTCTTCCTGTCTAAGGGGGTGTTTAGTAGTGCGTTTAGTAGTGCTTCTTAGAGCCTAAAATCACTACTCTAGCCATCAGAAGCTAATAATGGTGTTTGATAAAAATTATTAAAAGTGATTTTTAAAGAATTTTTGAAAAATTTACACTCAAAATCAGAAACAGTCTAGAGGCAATTTTAGCTTTTAAATTGTACAAGTTTCAGGGTAGTACAATTAATGATTATCAACAAAGTTATATTAAATAATTAATTATTAAATAATTAATTATATTATATATTAATTAATAATTAATAAATAGATATACTTAATAAGTAATAAATAGATAGTAATTACTTAATTATTAATTAAATATTAATTTATTACTATTAAGTTTTTAATTTTATTAATAAAATAATAAATAATATAGTAATTAATTATTTAGTTAAAGAAAATAAATAATAATTACTCAATTAATAATTAATATTAAATTATAATTATCAATATGTAATATATTAATCAATAATAATTAATAATTGATAATTAGTAATTAATCGTTATAAAATGAATAATTACCATGTGATATATCAAATAATAGATTATTAAATAAACATTAGTAATTAATTAACTAATTATTTAATTATGTAACTAAAAGTTAATAATTTAAGTAGTAAAAGGAATATTAATAAATTATGTATATACTAATTATTTTTCTTAATACACTAATTAATTACTTATTATCTAATAAATATGAGTACATTACTAACATAGTAATAATTTATAATTAATTACTAATTACTATTTTTAATTATTTAACATATTAATTTATTATATATATAGTTTAATTACTAATGTACTCATTAATGATAATTTATCCATTATTAATATATTAATTTTTATTTGCTAAATAATTATCAATTATTAATTACTTTATATATTAATTTAAGATTATTAATTACAGTCGTTTTAACTACCCACAGTAATTCAACCTCACAATTTACTAAACGCTCTTACACTACTTTTGAAACCATCAACACTTGTATAATTACAATTTACCAAACACTCAGTTACTTTTTGTAGCAGTTACTTTTTCTTTCACCACAACTAAAAGCAATTTTTTTAAAATCTACAATATTACCAAACTGGCCTTTAGTATCTAATGCCTATCGTTGATGGCCTTTTGTTCTATTCATTCAGATTACATACTCACGCTATGCGTACTTGTGAATATCTTTTTAGGTTTAATTTCAGGGCATGCTTGGTAGTAGTTTGATTGATGATTATGAAGGGGTTTAACACTTTATTTACTCCAACCGATAAAACCGACCACAAAAATTGAAAAATAAAAAATCAACCCCAATAGTTGGTTAACCGAACTGCCTATGTGTATAGGTGGTTCGGTTTTGGTTTTAGGCCTTGAGGTGGTTGCTTAAATCAAACCGAATTAACCTCCTTCACTGTAAAAAAAAAAAAAGAATACTGCACAGATGGAGGGTCAAACCCTCAACATGGGGAGCATGCCACACGTTCATTTGGCTACAACACACCAAACTTGGCGTAAGTTTTGGGTTCCGTATATATTTATTACATTTTTATTTGTTTTAAATCTTAAAATGACAACTTTAAGTTTGAGAGTCCCGCGTAGAAAAGATACCAACATTTCTCTCTTGCACTCTTTTTATAAGCGACCAGAGGTTGTCATCCTATCAACGCACTTCATTAATGAAAATGAAGTGCTGACGGTGAAATTTCGTCAACAGGATTACGCCGGGTCACCTTTAGGTATCCTGTCAGGTTACCGGCTAAAAAACGTTTATTTGATATTGAAAATGATATGGTAAAGCGTGTATGAAGTTTGTGGTAAATATAATGGGAGGACTGTACTTGTATGAAAATAAAGGCACAAGGTTTATAGTGGTTCACTCTATTAATGAATAGCTACATCCACTTTTCTTTGTATTTCTTTTGGATTTTTTTACAATAACTCTCCCTTTCTACTCTCGGGTTGAATATGAAATGAGCAAAACTAAAAGGAAAAATCCCCTCTACTCATTTGGAGCTTTGCCCCTTTTATAGCCAAGGGTTCCTTCGTGGGCGGTTCCTCTCGTAGGCAGAAGCACTCGAGTGGCCTACCCTCATAGGCTCAGACCGTAGCCCACTAATCACCTTTTGAACTGTACACTCGTTCAATTAGTTTTTCATTACGGCTCTGTAAACTCCCTGTAACCCTCCACTGTTCACTGTTGGGCGGTTTAGGGGCTTGTAATTAATGCCTGCACTGCAGACATCTCCTAGTGCCAGACGCAAGTTGGTTGTGTCAGACACCTTTATGGAGATACGGGCGTCGCCTCCCATGCTCTTCCCTCGACGTCTACGCTGAGTGAGTAGTGGCCTCTTCTGGCCGCTGATCCTTCTGTGGCGTAGGGAATTTGCATAAGTCATAGGGTCGACGGCATAACGGGTCGATGCCCTAAGGCGGGCTTTCTTCGTAGCGTAAAGGGGAAGTGAGCTTCAGGCACCGAGGGTTATCGCTTTGTGAGGAGAAGTAGGGCCACGTGTAACGCTGTCGCTATCCCACGTGTCACCTGGATTTTCCCACACAACAGCTGCCCCCCAGGTCGAGACTTTCTTTCAGACAGCCTCGAGCTAGGTTTGGGTACTTTTTTGTGCTTCGGGCGTGGGAACCTAATTCCGAGCCTATCTTATAATGATGCCCTGAGGCTTTGAACTCCTTTCAAAAGCATAACCATCGCGTCGGTCACTTCACCAAACTGACGTAGGGTTTTATTTTGAAAAGATGAATCTGAGCCTTTGGATCGTGCCCCTTCATCTTCCCGCCTTTGTTTGCCGTCGTTCGATCCTGACTGAATGCCTCTGCCATTGGATTCATCAGAACTTCATCCAACGACCAGGGGTCGAGGGCTCATTTTTCTTTAAATGTTCCTCGAACCGAAGCCACTTCATTTCACTTCAAGTTTTG